TTCATTGCCCCTGCGCACCAGCGGAACGGGAAGAGAGGGCCAAGGGATTCATATTCTGCTGTGGGTATGCTGATGTTCAATGCCTCGCATTTTGCAAGATTAAGCTTGAATCCTGATAGCCGCCCAAATTTATCCATTTCCGACAGTAAGCAGGGCAGTGTGATCCGTGGGTGGGAAATAAAAAATAGAAGGTCGTCCACATATGCTGCAACTTTGTGTTCCGTTCCCTGCCATGTGTAGCCCCGGATGTCCTGGTGGTCTCGGATTGCTTGTAATAGCGGTTCTAGTGACAAGATGAACAAAAGTGGTGATAAGGGGCATCCTTGTCTGGTGCCGTTTGCGATCCCAAAGCTTGTAGTCAGTGCCCCATTAACGTGCACAGCTTCCCTCGGTGTGCTGTATAGGGCGGTTATCCACGTCATGATCCTCTGCCCCATGCCCATGGCTTGAAGTGTTTGGGTTAGATATGTCCAGTTGACCCGGTCAAATGCCTTCTCCGCATCCGTGGATAGGAGCACGAGGCGTTTCTGGAATTTTCTAGCATGATGGTGAATGGAGAACAGGCGTAATGTACTGTCTCTAGCCTCTCGTCGTGGGATAAACCCTGTCTGATCTGCTTGGACAAGACTCGGCAGTATGCATTGAAGTCTAGTTGCCAGTAATTTCGTGAAAAGTTTAGTGTCCACGTTTAGCAGGGAGATCGGGCGGTAGCTGCTACATTGTTCCGGGTCTTTCCCAGGTTTGAGTATGACGGTTATAGTTGCTGTTAGAGATTCCGTGCCAAGGTGTCCTCCTTCTGTTAGTTTGTTAATTGCTTTTGGCAGCTTTGGTAGTAGTAGTGTCGCAAAGTTTTTATAATAACCTGTGGTGAACCCGTCCAGGCCTGGTGCTTTCCCTGTTTTCGTGTTTTTTAATGCCACGGCTAGATCTTCCATTGTAATTGGTTCGTCGAGGATGGATGCGGTCTCCGGGTTTATCCTTGCCCGCACGTTGTCTTGTAGGTAAGTCTGTACTTGTTCTAATAAGTTTCGTTGTTGGGCTGTGTCCTCTGGTGGGCGGAGATTGTATAGGGAGTTGTAATAGTTTCTAAATTCTCCGGCTATCTCTTCCGGAAACTGGGATGTGCTGCCCGAAGTTAAGTGAATTTTTCGGACTTGTGTGTGCGGCGTGTCGCCTTTTAACATGCGAGCTAGGAGCTTCCCTCCTTTGTTCGCATGGGTGTAGAAGAAGTTTTTTGATCTCTGTAGCGATCGGAGGTATCTCTGCGTGAGGAGGTTCTTCAGTTGTCGTCTGGCTTCCATTAGTTCCCCATAGGTTTCAGTTAACTGTGTGCGTTTGTGTTGGAGTTCTAGGCGTGAGATGGTGTTGTATATTTCTGTCATTGCTCGCGTTGCTTCCTTCCTTTTATGGGTTGCGATGCTGATGAGAGTGCCTCATATGACGTTCTTGTGGGCTTCCCATACTGATATTGGTGATAGATCATCTGTTTCGTTCTCTTTAAAGTATGATTCCAGTGCCTGAGTGATTTCCTCTCTTACCCCTATATCCTCATCACGCCATCACGTGACCGGACGAAACTCCGAGTTCCAGGAAGTGAAGCCTGTAATACCGAAAGTCACCAGGGACTGGTAGATATACATTATACAGTACTGGCAAAAGGTTATTTGGCTGCTATATGGAAATGGAGAGTGTGGATTCTACTTATTTTCAATAAAGCTGTTTTTAATTTGGGAAGCTGGTGTCCTGCCTATTTACACCAACATTGAAGTCCTGGTTTTTGGATTCAAAGCTGGATCAGTTTGAGCAGGCTTTTACTGCTCTTCACTTGTGAGTGATATTCCTAATTCTACTTGCTGGTCTTTATATTTATGTAAAACAATATTATACTATGTTTCTCCATTTTTTATCTCTTTTTACATATGTTCTTATGTGATTTGGAGAATTTAAGGAGACATATATTTCCCTTGTAAGTTATTTGTCTTGGATATTGATTTTTACACTATCACATTTGCATTTTGCACTTTTGCCACATTGAATGTGATTGTATACACACTCTGTGTTTTTGCACAAAATATTTGCACATATTATTGCACTATTTGCACTTTTTAACATTTAAAGATACAGCGCACCTATTTTTATTTTTTGGATTTTATGTATGGTGTTTTATGAGCTTGTACACTTTTAGGTGCTGCTACACTTTTATTATCTTCATATTTTATATTAGCACTTTCAGCGCCTTTATTGCTTGTTTGTTTTTTTAGTACCCCTATATCCTGTAGCAGGGCCTCATTCAGGCGCCACGTCCAAGTTGCCGGTTTAAACAGCGGGGACTCTAAGTCCACCTGGACCGAGCCATGATCGGACCATGAGGCAGGTTCGATGGTGGCGGATCGTAGGCGGGAGAGTCCTTCTTGTCGGATCATCAGGTAATCTATTCGGGAGTAGTGGTTATGTTTTGCCGAATAGTGTGTATAGTCTTTGTTGGTAGGGTGGGTCGCCCTCCAGCAGTCTACCAGCGTCAGCTCCCCCAGTGATTTGCGAATGGATCTAATGTGAGCTTGCGAGAGGCAACTGTGGCCAGTGGATGAATCCATAAGCTGGTCTAAGGGGGCGTTAAAGTCACCTCCCACGATCAGTGCTCCCTCCAAGAATCCACGTAGTTTATTCAGTGTCCCCCTGAGGAATTGTGCTTGTTTTGAGTTGGGTACGTATATGGTTGCGAACGTGTATACTCTCTCAGCGGTCACTCCTTTAATGAAGAGGAATTGTCCGTGTTCGTCGGCCAATTTGTCCAGTTCCTGGAACCCTAAGTCGGCCGCTAGCAGTATTGCAACTCCTGCTCGGCGTGTCTCCGGTTGGTTGTTGAGATAGCTAATGGGGTGGTAGGTGCTTTGGAGTTTTTGGGCCGCTCCTTCCTTAAAGTGAGTCTCCTGCAGCATTGCTATAGATATGTGTTTCCGTCGTAATACCCTCAGTAAGTGGGAGCGGCGTTCCGGTAGGTTCAGGCCTCTGCAGTTGAGGGTCATGATGGACATGGGGGTGTGTTGGTACACCATGGCCCCCCTCCTGGTCGGGCGCCCGTCCATAGGAGATGTGTCCGCGCAGGGCAAGGGGCCAAGCTGGCGACACAGCCTCGTGGGAGTGGGTATATTACTATGTGTTGTGGTCTCTACGTTGCCTAGTCCTATATATGTTGAGTGTCTGGATATCCTGTCTGTCACCGTCTACGTTTGGGTCGGTATGTGTGGTAGTGTTGGGGAGTGATGTGTGGGGGAATCGTGTGTGTGTACGTGTAGGGGTAGAAAAAGGTAAAATTAAGGGGAGACTAGAGGGGTCTCCCTCGTGGGTGAGTGCCCAGCGGGGATGAAGGTGTGTGTCACCCCGAATTCTCCTCAAGGGAGGAGGAACACTTGCGTCTCAGAAGGAATAGTCAGGCGTCGCACCGATAACCAGATCGGTGTTCGCCGGGAACTCCGCTGAGAGTGTCTTGCAGGTGTGTGTGTGGAGTTATGGTTGGTCCATATCCACCGGTCCCCTACCCTAGTGTGATTGATCTTGGGATGCGGTTTCCAACTTGAGAGGCTGAGTTACGTCAAATATGTGGCTTTGAACATAAATGTGAACATACATAACTTTGTTAACAGTCAAAAATTTTTGTGTGCGGCCCCCCTCAGTACCCCAATGGCCCCTCTCCCCCGCCCCAGCCAGGAGTTTATTTACAATTGCGCTCTCCCCCCCCTCTCCCTGGTGACCCACGCTAGCCGTGTTATTTGTGGTTATTAGTGGTGCATCGTCAAAACACAACATAGTCATTCGAAATTACATCTCTCTAACTTCTATATAGGTAACCTCCTCTGCGTCTTGTAATCTTCGCGGTACAACTATATATCTATTTGTGTACTTTTTTTTTCCCTTTTCCTCCCCCCCTCTCTCTCCCCCTCCCCATTTCACTCCCCTCCCTCTCCTTCCTCCTATTAGCAGTAGAAAGAGGGAAGTGCTCATGCCATTGTACAGAACACTGGTGAGACCTCACTTGGAGTATTGTACACAGTACTGGAGACCGTATCTTCAGAAGGATATTGATACCTTAGAGAGGGTTCAGAGAAGGGCTACTAAACTGGTTCATGGATTGTGGGATAAAACTTACCAGGAAAGGTTAAAGGATCTTAACATGTATAGCTTGGAGGAAAGACGAGACAGGGGGGATATGATAGAAACATTTAAATATATAAAGGGAATCAACACAGTAAAGGAGGAAACTATATTTAAAAAACTACACAACAAGAGGACATAGTCTTAAATTAGAGAGCCAAAGGTTTAAAAATAATATCAGGAAGTATTACTTTACTGAGAGGGTAGTGGATGCATGGAATAGCCTTCCAGCTGAAGTGGTAGAGGTTAACACAGTAAAGGAGTTTAAGCATGCGTGGGATAGGCATAAGGCTATCCTAACTATAAGATAAGACTAGGAAGTGATGAAAGTATTTAGAAAATTGGGCAGACTAGATGGGCCGAATGGTTCTTATCTGCCGTCACATTCTATGTTTCTATGTTTCTCCCCATCTATCTATTCACTGCCTTCGATTTTAGGTACTAATTAGTTGCATTTCCCTTCTGTGTACAATACTACAGTTATTCAATATTAGCATATGCTTGTGGTGGGTGATACTTATCGGGTCAGAGGGACACTCTTCTCTTTGCTGTAAATGCTTAGAGTCTCGAATAGCCAGATATGGTGGTATATCCCAGCATGACTCTACGTGTACCGGTATGTGGAAAAATCCAAAGTCTTGCGTTCAGTGAGGTCCAGAGATGTCCTGTGTGTGATGTGGTGCACCGGCAACATGTGTCCCCCACGGAGATGGAAGATGCTGCTGCTATTCTCCCCATCCCCCTCCCAAGTACCGTGTGCGCCCGGTTATCCCCTCGGGTAATGAGGCCCAAGATTGGGGCTGGTGTCCCGTTGGGAGTGCATGGCCCAGGGGGGCCGTAGTCCAGCTTTATGTCCCTGTTACTTTCCATAGGAGGGTGGGGTAATGCTTGCCTGGCGGGTTAGCGGTGTCGGGGTGGGGGCTATTCTCCCTAGGCTCTTTGTGGGTTGCGATGGCGTTGCGGCGGTGATCTCCCTCTGCGTCGCCGAGGAGCGCATTGTGGTCTCGGGCCAGCCGCCAGAGGTCCCAGGATCCAATCAGGTATTTGTACAGGTGGGAGGCCCAGTTCCTCCAGGAAGCCGGGTACCTCCTCCGGCCAGCGGAGTGAGGCCCACCCGTTTCGGTGTCTCGCCTGCAGGGCAAATGGGAACCCCCATTTGTAGGGGATGTTGTTTTCTCTTAATAGCGTTGTAATGGGTCGCAGGGCTCTTCTGGCTTCTAAGGTTACTGGGGACAAGTCATTAAATAGTGATATTTGCGCCCCTCGGAAGTCCCATGTGGGTCGGGATCTGGCCCCTTTCATAATGGCGTCCTTAGTTGAGAAGGAGTGTATGCAGCATATTATGTCCCTTGGGCCTTCCTCAAGCGACCCTGGCCATAATGCTCTGTGTGCCCTGTCGTACCTTATGTCCAGCTGTGCATCCTCGGGCACGATCGAGCGGAAGAGGGCTGTTAGGGACTGTTCTATGTCCTCCTCGCCATCTGTCTCTGGCATTCCACGGACCCTTATATTGCTCCGTCGTCCGCGGTTGTCGAGGTCCTCGACCAACCTCCTTAGTTGTAGGAGCAGGTCACCTTGCCTTGTGAGTGCTGTATCCGTTGTTGCCAGTCTGGTAGTCTGTGCCGCATGGGAGTACTCTAGTTCCTGCAGGCGACTACCTTGTGATGTGACCTCCGTCCGGATTCCGGCCATTTCAGCCTGCAGTGCGTCCTGCATTGTGGTGGTGAGAACCAGGAGGTCTGCTTTTGTGGCCATTGAGGCCGCCATTGTGCGGATCTCTTCCCCAATTCCCTCCAGAGTGGAGGTAGGGTGATTGTTAGGCGGAGTGGTACCGGTCGCCATTTTGAATCCTCCAGCCTCCTCACGTGTTGCTGCCGGCATCTGCAGGAATTCGTCCATCGGGCCCAGGGATAAGTTTTGTTGGGATCTCCTGGGGGTCCCTGGGGGTTCACCTCGCCGGTTCCGTCCCATTTAAGCTGTGGGTGGCTAATTAGTTGGGCGTTATGGGGGCCGGTAGAGCGGAGCTCACTACTCAGGCATCCATCCTGTCCGGCGTCCAAGCCACGCCCCCCTCTGTATCTTTTCCAACTAACATTTAACTTTGAAATTCTTTAAAATTTAGAACTCTGAAAACTGTTCTATTTCCACACAATTCTTTATACTCCATCTTACATTTACCATACATCTACAAGCCTGAAAAAAAGAAACTCTACCAAGAGCTGGTAATTATACTGATTTTATTAAATCAATTGAAATTAATTGATTTTACTAAAAGGCAGAATATACATGGATAAAAGCTGGTGATTCCAACATTAAGGAGTCATGATTCGATTCCATTCCTGCAGGTGGACCAATGAACTCTATATCACTTTTAACTTTAACTTTACAAATAGAATACCAGGCAATTATCCAGATATATTATCTTACGTAATTTAGAAATAGTAAATCTTAATTAGGAAAGTTAAAATTCTGCAAATGTAAAATCTGGTTAGAATTATTCTTATTGGATGAGAAAGAAAAAGTTTACTGATCTGGTATGAGAAATATTGTATTTGTCGTTGCAATATAAAAGGATATCTTTCTTATGAGAATTGTAGCCAGCATGGGCGTAGGAACCGGGGGGAATGGGGGTGATGCAAATCATGTGGGGGGGACAGGTTATAGAGAAATCTCCCCCAGCTCCGCCGGCCGCGGGTGCCCTCAGGCTGCGTGCGGCTCCATCAGGGAACCGCACGAGCTGCAGACTGGGAAGGGGAGCACCTCCCCCTCCGCGCAGGAGCGCCGGGTGTCACGTGATTACCCGGCGCTCAGTCTGGCACTGCGCCCGCCGGACGTACAGAGGTCCCCCTGCTATGTCCGGTAAAAGGGGGGACAACAGTTTGTAGGGGGGAGAAAAGAAAAAAAAAACAGCTGCCTGATTTTTTTTGTGTGTTAATTAATAGAAGGGTTAAAGAAGGTGGGAGAGGGGGAGGTAGAAAAATGAATGTAAGCAGTTAGGGGGGCTTCTAATATGGATGGGAGGAAGGGGGAGGTAGAAAAATAATTGGAATGGTTTAGGGTGGCTACTAATATGGATGGGGAGAGGGGTAGGTAGAAAAATAATTGGAAGGTGTTGGGGGGAGTTAGAAAAATAATTGGAAGAGGTTAGGGGGGCTACTAATATGGATGGGAGGAGGGGGAGGTAGAAAAATTATTGGAAGGGGTTAGGGGGGCTACTAATATGGATAGGGGTAGAGGGGTAGGTAGAAAAATAATTGGAAGGGTTTAGGGGGGCTACTAATATGGATGGGAGGAGGGGGGAGGTAGAACAATAATTGGAAGGGGTTAGGAGAGTACTATTATGAATGGAAGGGGCAGGGTGGGTTCTAATATGCATTGAAGGGGTAGGTGGGGTTCTTATGTGCATGGAAGGGGTAGGGGTGGTTCTAATATTCATGGAAGGGGTAGGGGTGGTTCCAATATTCATGGAAGGGGTAGGTGGGGTTCTAATATAAATGGAAGGGGTAGATACGGGTAGTAAAATGTATGGAATGCACTTCTGAAAGTGTCACTGAATGGCAGTTAGGCCCCCTAAGTCAGGGCAGTATTACACAATCTGTGTATGTATAAAACAAAATATAAAAACTAACCTGCAAAGTACAAAATGTTTGTGTCATATGTTGTGCTAAAAATTAAGCTAGGAATGTGCATATTTTTTTATTTGTTAAAATAATTTTTAGAATAATGATACAGACATTTTATTTCTTACATTTGTGATGATTCTTTTTTCCCCTCTATATTCAAGGGACACTATAGTCACCAGAACCACAACAGCTAAACGTAGACGTTCTGGTGTCTATAGCAGGTCTTTGCAGGCTTTTTAATGTGAGCACTACCTTTACTGCTGAGGAATACCTCTAGTGGACACTCAGATGGCCACTAGAGGTGCTTCCTAGTCGAGACATCAATGCCGCCCTATGAAGTATCTGCGTATGTGCGGCAAAACTGCGCATGCGCACCAGGGAGCAATGACACTTCTGAATAGAAGTGTTTTATTGCTCCCTGCTCGCATCCTCCTATTTCGTCATTTTGACGAAATAGTGGGCGCGGCATCAGGAGGTTCCCGGCGATGTATCCGGGTAAGTAAAATCGGAATAAGAATATACCCGGCGAGTAAAAATGCTATCCCCCCAGAGTTTTTTGGGTTCCTACACCCATGGTAGCCAGCATTGAATGATTTAATTCATTGTGATTTGACTGTCAGACAAAGTTTTTATTGCTTTACACTGTGCTGCTGTGAGATGCTGTGTTCTGTGCTAAGGAATGTTTAAAGCTGATTTCAAAGTAAAGTGTCCGGTCATAATTTTTGTTGAAAACTGCATATATATATATATATATATATATATATATATATATATATATATATATATATATATATATATTGGTATAACTGTTGCTATTTATCTGTCTTTAAACTGTGTTAAATCACTGCCATATTGTATACTTATGCTATACCTAAATATTCACTGATGATTGTCATGCATGTTACATATTATTATTGTCACAATAAATTATATTTTTATAATTAGTTTGTGATTAATGTAAAAAATGAAACATAATCCAGGATCTATGAGAATTAAAAATAGTGGGTAGTTCTCAGCTTTAAATTAATATAATCGGGGAAACCGTGCCAATATATCAATTTTGGTATAATAAAAATTATTAAATTTATTTGTGCTAATTTTTTTGAAAATATTATTTTTAATATTTATCACCCCATAAATATCCTTACACTACATAATATTGCAAAGGTTTCTTTTAATGTATGATGAGTGTATATATACTGATGAGTGTGCCTGCATTATGTGAGGACATTATGCATTGACAAAGGGACACTTGTTTCTACATTTTCCTTGTGTTATTATACTAATATTCAACTGTATTATTACTACATACTGCTACTATTGAATTTCTTATGTTCTCATGCTGACATTTTTCACATAACGACATTATTTGACCGCAAAATTTTAATTTGTACGCGTATAGTAAGAGTTTATATTCCACCAGTACTCTTCTAGAGATAAACTATTTTGTTGTGTGTGCGTGTATATAAATATATATAAACTGTGTGCACAATCGGTCACATGATATTGATTACCAGACTCCACTGAGGGCAGGCAAATATTGAGGTGAGTATACAGGAGAGGCACTTTTTTTAAATCAAAATTTTAGTACTTGGGCTGTATGTTAAAGTCCCTGCTCCCATTGGTCCACAATATGAAAATGTAAGTCTTCAACACTTGGCCATTTCAGATGCAATATAGGTTTATTCAGCCATCTAACAGGGCAGGTAACATTTTAACATAGTGTGTGTCTTTATCAAGCCATAAAATGCTGTCTGCCTTGTTTGATGGCTGAATAAATCTATGTTGCAACTGAGACTACCAGGCACTTAACTGAGGCACAAACCATAAGTGTACTTAGTCCCAGTAAAAAACATGAACCGTGTGCTGCTCACCCCAAACTAAATACCAAAGGGTTAGGCACATCCAGCAGCAACAGGAAAGTAGGTTGTGTGCATACAAAATGAGGCACTACACCAGGGCTTGACAAATTTGCCTGGAATCTAGGAGCCAGCTAAAAAAGTTAGTAGCCAGGTTTTTCAACACCAAAAATACCATTCTTAAAGGGACACTATAGTCACCAGAACCACTACAGCTCAATGTAGTTGTTCTAAAGTCTATAGCCTGTCCATACATGCTTTTCAATGTAGTTACTGCCTTCTCAGTTAAAAGGCAATGTTTACATTGCAGCCAAGTAACCCCTCTAGTGGCAGTCACTCAGACGGCCTCTAGAGCTGCATCTTGGGTCAGTGCTCCACAGTGTGCAGCACTTCCATTCAGCGTGTTCATGCTCTGTATTGAGACACTTAATGCTCCACATATGGGTGCATTGATTTAATGCATCTCTATGAGGAGATGCTGATTGTGGCAGCGTGATTTGCTGTGCAAGCGCAAGAGTCTCCAAATTGGATTTGCTGAGATCGTCAAGTGAAGATTGTAGTGGAGCTGCAATAATAAAACCAACATCTCCACTGGTAGTCTGTAGAACAAAAAGGAAAGTTCAGCAGTATAATCCCAATTCCCCCAGTAACCGGACAATACACAGTTCTGGGAGTCAACTCTTTAATAGGAGCCACACACGGCCCCATGTGTGTCCCCATGCAAGGGGTTTACTGTAACACATTCCAGGGGCATTCCCCACTGGACCTGAGAGGGAACAGTGACAAAATACACAACATAATTAAATTACCTCTCAGATCCAGAACATATACATGAATAAACACCCCAAAACACCCCTTTAACAATAAGGTACCCCTTTAAGTACTATATCTCCTGGTAGCCTGAATCTGAGCGCCCAACATATCCCGAAACAAAAAAAAAAATGGACAATACAGTTATAACTTGTTCGGTGGATCCCAATTGCCGAACCAGATAAGTCCACGATTTAAAAGAAAGGCATATAATCAAAATAGGTGGCTGGTTCCACCACACAGCTCCCCTGTAACCACAAACCAGCATACACAGTCTGATCCCAACGGATTGGGTTGGGGATGTCCGGGGGAGTACTCACAGATCACTTCTCTAGTTTAGTTTGTCTGGAAAACCCATCAACGCTGCCATTCTGCTTTCCAGGGCGGTAATGAATTGTAAAGTCAAATGGCTGCAGCGGTAAACTCCTGCCACCCTGTTGCGCCACACTAACGGGTTGTTATCTTTGAGCAATGAGAAGGGTTGATCGTGCATTCTTTTTCGATGGTGGCGTAGCTTACTTCTCGGGGTAATCATTTTCCCCACCATCGGCTCCGACTTGGCTCAGTACTGCCCCCAATCCAAACATAGAAGTGTCTGTGTGAAGAA